CAGTGCCCTGCATCCCTCATGGGCTCCCCTGTGCCCACTCCCCATGGAGAGGAGGGTGTTCCTGATGGAGAGCTCAACTCCAGCACTCACCCAGACATCTGAGAGCCCAAATGTGCTCACCCCGAGCACCATCCGAGAGCCCAAATGTGCTCACCCTGAACCCTGCTTTCCATTTCCTGATATTCTGAACGGGGCTCTCTCTCCACGGCCTCCCCCACACCTGACCCAGAATGATCCCGATCACACCTGACCAAGAACTCTTTGGGCAGGCAGGAGTAAGGTAGAGAAACAAAAAGCAAAATCTTGAAATTTTCAGGAAAAAAATGAGTAGCCAAATCAGATGCTCCAAAATGGGTGTTTGACAGGTTTGCCTGCRCTGTGTTCTGTAAAGGTTGGGGAAATTTTGGCTTCTGTTCCAGATTCAGAAAAAGGAAAACTGAGCTGTGTGCTSTGGGAAAGGTGCAAGCCCTTCTGGGCAGCACAGGTTGGGGAGCACACATCCATTTTGGACAACAACAGGACTTTCTCCCTGTTCTTCTCTTCATTCACCAAAAGGCGCATTTTTCCTTAAAAAGTAGAATTTTAAAAAGTAAAAAAAAACTTATCAGACAAAACAATTTCACCCATCCACTCAGGGTTATTTACCAGAGCCCGGGTACATCTTACCTATGGGATTTTTCCCGGGCCTGTAACAGGAATTGTTAGGATTGCAGAGCACAGATCTGGAATGAATCCATCCTTTCTGAGCTCCTGGCCATGGCAAAGCACACCTGTAGTGCCTTATGGGATGGGACATTGCTGCTCTGACTGGGTGACAGGGAACTTAGAGGACTTAGGGGGGTGTTTTTGGGGGTTATTTTGGTGCTCCATACTGGAACCCCTGATGGGAATAGCCCTGGGCCCCAAAGCCCCYGGGGTGGGCTCTTCCTGGGGGACAAACAGATCCTACAGCCAGGACTGTGCACCCTGCACTGGAGTGGCATGTGCAGCCACAGGGCCTGGCAGGGACCAGGAGTCTGCAGGGACGCTCTGCAGGTGGGGGCAAAAAAAAACCCCAAAAAAAGTGGATTCCTACAGAAAAACATGAGAAACAGAAATTTAGGTTTGTACCACTGGTATGGGCCCTGCTTTGAATGCATCTGCTGAAGAGGCTGTTATGCTTTAATCTCCATCAGCATCATTACCAAGGACCAGCCACGAGGATGCATTTATGCCTCTTCCAGTCCAGTGAGGATAAAAAGAGGCTCAAAACCATTTACTTGTTTTGGCCTCGCTGGTAAAACAAAAAACAASCACCTCCTTTTCAGCCCCAGTCTGGTGTTGGTACCATGAGGAATCCCTGAGCAGCCCAGGGTTGGTGCTGGCTGCCTGTTTTGGGGTGGGTGTGACACAACACGGCAGAGTCAAATGATTTACAAAGATTCAACTCAAAGGTCTCCAAATCAGCATTGAAAAAACCCCAGCCAGGAGGGAACTGCACTGGGTGGCCTCGGGGCCCTGCACCTCCTGCCCCATGTCTGAGGATGCCACACAGAAATGGGTGCCAAAACCAAAAAAAAACCAAAAAAAAACCAAAAAAAGGGAGGAAAACCCCAACAGAAAGGAGCGCACTGTGAGAGCGTGGGAGGGGATGGCTGCAGCACAGCGACTGCACAATGCAACACGGCCAAGATGCAGAAATCAGACTGGAACCAGTGGCTAGCGAGGGAGAGCAGGGGTTCCTACAGACTAGCCCTTACCTGAGAGATCCCCATAGTCCAGCTCCTCGGCCGAATTGGGCAACTGAGTAAAGCCTTACAAGTAAAAACAAACTCGTTTTTCTCTGCGTTTCTCAAGCGACAAAAACAACACACTTAAGAACTGAGGATGGATTTCTTGGGGGGGAAAAAAGAGAATGCATCAGTCACTTGCCACTGTCTGCCCCACATGTGGGCAGAGCCATCGTGTGACACGAGTGCCACGGTGGCCTTTGTCACAGACAGAAACGCTCCTCGCTCTCCACTGTTGGCACACGGACATGGCAGTGAATCCACTCACTCATAACAGCATGCAGAGCCCCAAACTCTGCTTTCAGCACTGCAGGCACCATTGCCCAATYGAGCCCAGGCTGATTTTGGTCCTGCACACACAGAGCAATGGAAAACTTMCTTCCAGTTTTGCACCCAATCCAATTGGTTTGGTCATGTTGACAAAGTGGACATTTACTGGTGAGGAAATGTGAACGTTGTGCAGTGAATGTCACGGCCTCTTTGCAGTCTGTGTCCTCTGCCAAACTATGGGACAAACTGGCTTCTTTTTCRTCTGCCCAAATGGGATGGATTTATGGGAAAAGCCTCAGAAAGCAACCAGGGAGCCTCGTGGCTGTGGTGTGAGAGCTTTAGTGCTTTTGGTTTGGGATTTGAGGCAGTGCTGGGTCTGTAGGGCAGAGTGAACATCTCAGGAGCAGGTGAGCCAGTGCCAGGGGTCACCCTGATTTACTGAAACAGGGCTGGGGCAGTGTCTCCTGGRGTCACTCTTGCTGCTGGCCACCAAAGCAAATAAAAAAAAAAATCCCACGAAGAGATCCCACATCTGTGGGCACTGGGGATCTGGGAGTGCCAGCTCTGCCCGCCTTTAAACAGCAAAGCTGGAGTGCAGGATGGTCAGTGCACACTGCCCTCAGTGCACTGCAGAAATACATATATTCATATATATACACTGCTCTTTTTAAAAATGGAACTCATTTTCAGTGGCTGGTTTTTAAATACATCAAATCACCAGAAAGCTATGTTGGAATTACCTCCTGAAGTGGGAAGGCATTTAGATTAATAGCAGGAAATTTGTTTGTGTGCCACTCTTAGGTTCAGGGAGCCCTTTTCAGGAGCCTTTTTGCTATAAATGATCTATAAATACAACAATCGACTCACAGAAGCATTGGCCATGCAAAGCTGCACTTGGCAGAGGACTCCTTCAACTTTTCTCTCTCTAAAATTGCTTCTGTAGAGCTTTCCCTTTCCCTCTAAAGGAACCGTATTTTCTCACTGATGAGAAAGGGCAATATTGCATTTTTTATGAAGCAAAAAAAAACCCGCTCTTCAGAAGAAAATCTGCAACAATTCCACAATCCCGTTTCTCCCTGCACCTGGGACACTCACAAATGCCACTGGCCGGTGTTMAAACCTGTTGTGAGGCATTTAAATAGCTGCTCAATCACTTCTTGATTTTTCTCATTAAACTTTCATATCGGCTCTTAAAGCCCCTTCTTTTCACTTCTGAGATGAACTCAAAGTCTACGGCCACTCCTTTTAGAAAGGGAACTTTTGCCTGTGCTCAGTTTCCCTGGAAATGGCAAATCCACACAGGACCAGGCACCCTGGCTATATTTAGGTTTCTGGGGGCTCCCAGACTCCATCCAGTTTTTAGGGAAAAGCCGATTTCTCTCCATCTCAGCCCTAAATCAGCAATTAGGGATTCTGTTTTATGCAGCGCTGCTCAGAGCCGCAGTGAGCGCAGACACAGCTCTGATGTTTTATTCAACCGCCCCAAGGACGGCAGCGCTAAAACACATCCAGCAATGGATTCACCATCAGCTGCACTTTAAAGTAGGGCATTTCCAAGAGGGAAGGAGGCACTTGGACTGGCAGAGCTGCTCGATGATGGCAGTGCAGAGAGCTCTGAGGTTTTTTCTGTGGAGGTGCACGAGTGGCTGCTGCTCTGGCATGGCCAAGCTTTGGGTTTGGATTCAGCCAAGGAAAACTCATTTTCAGGGACTGAACACTATTGGAGAAAGCAACAAGAGTGTAACACAACAGTGTTAGCTGTTCTTGTACCAAACCCTGCTAGGGACACAATTAAAACCCCACACAGGCCTTAAGAAGAATTTCCAGCCTGTAAAATAATTTAGCTGCTGCATTATGGGCCGAGTATTTTCTTATCACTCTTTGTGATTGGGGTGTTTTCCTTATTTTAACCTTCACTCCAAGCATCCTGCTTTGCCAGATTTGGGGGAGGCTTTTTCACCCTGCCTTTCCATGAGGACGAGCAGAAATTGTGCATGTGGTGAGGCAGATTGTCTGATTCCTGCCTTACTGGGGAGTGGGGAGCAGCCCTGAGCCCCCATGGCTGGGCAGATATGGACAGGGCACAGGAGCAGTGCCCACATCCTGGGAATCACTCTGAGCTCTTAAAGCTCTCTGCTCACAGCAGGGTAAGGGCTGAATTTGGAATAAAGTGGATAAAAACTCAGTGTGTCTGAGGTCAYGGCTGTTTGGAGATATCCTGATTGTGCAGGATGAGCTGGGTGTCTCACCTGAGGGTCTTCACAAGGGCCAGCATCTCGTCAGGGCTGAGCTCTCTGGCCACCGAGGGGCACCAGGGCCAGGACATTAAAAACTGGTGAGTGATTTTGGAGGGGAGAGGGGCAGGGCAGGAGAATTTAAAGAGCACAGCAGAAAAAKCGCTCTGTCCCCAGCCTGAGTGGCGCAGACACTCCGGGCTGTTATCTCCCAGCTCCACCAAGCTCTGCCCGTTTCCAGCTCAAACTGTGGGACCTGTTGTGATTTCAGCCCCAGGGCACCCTGAGCCCACAGGGGCACCAAGAGGGACGAGGGCTGAAGCTGAAAAAGCCCGGCTTTGTGGGGTGCAGAGGAAGCACAAGCCTTCCTGCCGGCCATGACCATGCTGTTATTGGAGCTCTGGCAATGAACAGTGCAGAGAAAGGAGAAAGTGCATCAGAAAATTCACAGTTAAGCTCTCATTTTTCAACAAAAGAGTTCACAACGTTCGTGCGTTAGGTCACTCATGCATCGCTGCCGTCAACTCCATTCCGTGGGAAACGGGAATGGCAGGGCCTGGCTGCTCTGGGACATGCACACACATACAGGATCCTTCCCCCCAGTCCTCTAGGATACACTCCAAAACTTCAAATGGCTCAAAACCCTCTTGCCCCGATTCAAGTGGCTCCACACTGGCCTTACATTCCATTTTCTTTGCTTGCAAGCTCTTTTTTTTATGGATTGGTTTTTGGTTTTGTTTGGTTGTTTTTTTTTTGTTTGCTTTGTTTTCTTTTTTCTTCCCCCAATTCATTTTAAATCGTTTTTGGAGAAAATCCATTTGGCTGTATTCATGCCCATGCATTTCTAGTCATTCACAGACATGCTCACTCCCATCGGACATCGGAAAGAACAAATGGCCAACATACAGAAACACCTGGTATACTCCATACACACTCCAGCAACACAAGCTTGGAAAGAAATCCAGAGTCTTCACGGGAAAAGCACCCCATAAAGGCAARCATGGGGAATTCGGGACAAACTGCTGGTTTTAAGGCAGGAAAGTTTGTGGCAGCTCATTKGACTGGGATGGGTTGGCATTTCAGCTGGCCATGTCCTTGGCAGTGATCCTCCCATGGAGGAGGAGGCCCTCCAGTTAAAAACAGACTTTTTATGGCTTCCCCAGAACAAAGAAAAAGGAGGAGAGACATCAGGAACTGCTTTAAGGGCTCATCATTGAGTATTTGCCCATTTGTCCTCATTGCAGACTAACACACGGCTACACTGAGCTCGTCCTGATGCACCGACACCCAGAGAGGATGTTGGCAGCTGTGCTGCCATCAGGGCTACCTGATCATTTCAAATTAGGGATCAATATTTAGCCACAGACGTGTAGCCACAAAATTAGCAATGTTTGCTTTTGACACACACAGGGAGATCGTCACACTGACAAAACACAGAGTGCCTGAAGATTTCCCACCTTTACCCCAAGTGSGACAATGCAGCCAAGCAGATAAATTATTTGGGACAAGAAGTGCCAGCCCCATCATTTGATGTGGGACACTGCCACTGAATGATCCTTCACTCAGCCTCTGTCCTCCCAAGGGGAGCAGACAGGAAAATGGGGTGCTCTGTGACTGGCATTTCTGTCAGTAAAAAATCTGTCAGTTCATCACACTTCAACTAGAACAGCAAAGTCCAAAATGGAGTAGCTGTAATTAAAAATTGTTAGAGGTTTCTTCAGCTAAAAAGTGAGCTTGTGCCAAAAACTGGGCTGCTCAACTCGCAGGCTGCAGCGCGTACGTAGGCTCGCGGGGAATGGAGGAGCTCAGGAAGCTGTCAAGCTGTTAGCTAGACTGCCTGGAGCAGATGAGAAGGGTTACTTTGCTAGACTGCTATGCTGAGAGGAAAGTGTTGCTGTTTGTTTTCCCAATCTCCTTCTGCAGTGTAATAACGCAAACTTCACTGCCGACCTCGGAGGGGAGCGCTCCTCTGTGGAGCAGCCCAGAATCTGCAGTGCTGCCCTGTCTGAAAAACTAACTCAAAATGCAACAAAAACGCTCAGAAATTTAAAAAAAAAATTAAAATTTCGTTTTGCATTTGCGAAGTGACTGTCTCACTCAGTGGGTGCAGAATCACTTGGCATTGCTTGGACCTGGATGCCACATCCTGGGTTTGCCTGGCCCAGGATTATCACTGCAAAACTCCCAGCAGAAATGACAGGAGCACACAGACTTTCCAGCCTTAGAACCCATSTTGTATTTATGAGCTGAGTCCACTCCAAACACGGTTTTCCCTTGAAGACTCCAGTTCCCTTTTGGAGCTCCCCTTCCCAGGCTTGTCTTGCCACTCAGCAGCGCTGAGAAATAAGAGAAACAGGAATGTGATACCAACCGTGAACTGCCGGTTCTGTCGTCGCCGTTGTGTCTACACACGGGAACAGAGGATTGGAGGAAGGGAAGAAACAGGAGGAACAGCATGCAAAAAAAGGGAAAATGGAAAAAATGGAACAGATAATATATGAGCAAGCTTTCAAAGAACATTGCGTGACAAGCAATAATAAAATGAAAGGCAAAAAGCATTTGAAGTGAGTTGCACTGTTTAGAAGACATGCCTCCAATTCAAAAGCTATGAGCCTGAGGAAAACAGTAAATTTTTCTCTTTTTCCAGGACCTTGCCAGAACAATTACTGGTGGTTGCAAAGTCAGGGGAACAGGAGACAGGAGAGAACACCGACACCAACAATTTGGTTGGCAGGGACAAAACAGAAGCTCCAGAGCAGGACGAGGAGCCGAGGCGTGGCACGTCGCTGTTCCACACTCAAACACTGCCCTGTGGCCAGGAAAAGCCTGCTCCCACCCCTCCTCACTTCCCAGCCATCACCTGCATCAGGAACCTTTCTTTCAGCATAAAATATGTTCTAGAACTGGCAATTGTGGACCAACATTACCAGTCCCTTTGCTGCAGCAGGTACCTGCTTGAACAGCTATGGGCAATTAAAACATCCTGAATGTTTTTTTTTTTGCTGGCTGGTCTGAATCTGACTCTACATCCCACTGGAAATTTCTTGGGAGGGTGCTGCCTTGCCAATGGRGAGATGCTTTGTCTCTTCCAGGTGTTTGCAACAGGCACTTTCAAAGACTGAARGCTTTTTCTACAGCTTTATTTCCTCCCCAGCCATAGAGCTAAACCAAATTTAACCCCATTGCCCAAATTTACTGCCTTGTTCAGCTATTGGAACCCGTTTGGTTTCCCTCTGGAGGCAGGTATTCCGTGACAGGGATCAGTGCTGGAGCGGGCTGGATGCTCTGCATGTGTCACTGAAATAAATCCTGGATCGAGGGCCCAGCCCGGCTTTGGCCCAGCCCGGCTTTAGCCCAGCCCGGCTTTGGCACAGCCCGGCTTTGGCACTGCCTGGCTTTGGCCCAGCCCGGCTTTGGCCCAGCCCGGCTTTGGCCCAGCCCAGCTTTAGCCCAGCTCAGCCTGGCTTTAGTCCAGCCCAGCTTTAGCCCAGCTCAGCCCAGCTTTAGCCCAGCCCAGCTTTGGCCCAGTCCAGCTTTAGCCCAGCCCAGCTTTAGCCCAGCTCAGCCCAGCTTTAGCCTAGCCCGGCTTTAGCCCAGCTCAGCCCAGCTTTAGCCCAGCCCAGCTTTAGCCCAGCTCAGCCCAGCTTTAGCCTAGCCTGGCTTTGGCCCAGCTCAGCTTTAGCCCAGCCCGGCTTTAGCCCAGCCCAGCTTTAGCCCAGCTCAGCCCAGCCCAAAGCAGGCAGTGTTTGAGTGAGGAACAGTGAGTTAGTGAGCGCACAGCAGCGCTGCTCTGCGATCCTTGCCCAGTCTGGAGTTTGGGTTTTGCAAGGACAGACAATTCCCAGCGGCGTTCCCCTCGGTGACATGCTGGCACAGAACCTGGGGACAGTCCCCTGCACGGGCAGAGGCAGCAGTGGAAAAAGGAGGAGCTGTTCTTTGCAATTTAGCTGAGGACAGCCCAGGGCTGGGTTCCTGAAGCAGCAGCAAAGACAAGAATCATACAAGGAATACACAATACTTACAGATACAAGGTCTACATGCTTTAATTGTGGAGGCAAAACAAATAAACCCTGCACAGTTTAACAAACTGCACCAAGATTTGCATAACAGATTATCAAGCTGTCATTAGCCTGTTTCCACTGCCAACATAGACTGTTCTCATCCTGGCAACCAAATCTAAGGCACCCTCRAGGAGCCCAGCTCTTGTTCTCCTGTGGGAGCTCTGGGGCTGCAAAAATAACCTCCCAAAGCCAAGGGAGACCAAGAGCAGGGCTTTGGTTTGGTTTTGGGCAGCAATCCCCAAACGATGCCTCGTTTTAACCAAGCAAATGGTGGAAGGGGAAATGGTGGTGGAGGTGGGGGGAAAGTCATTGTTTAGAAGGGGTTGTAAAACTGAGTATYAATTCCTGAGATAGCATCTTGGCATCTATAAATAGTCTCAATTTACTGTCTTCCTGAAATAAAAAAAAGTTAYGTCAGCTTTTACACTAAATAGAGAAATCTGCTGGAAGCAAACTTGTATTGATGTGCTGGAAGAGATTATTAGTCAAGAACCAGTGCAAAGTGGACAGTGCATCTCGCTTCCCCGTCTGGGGACAGAGACCAACAGGTTACACAAAAGAAACTTCTCAAGCGCTTGTAAGTGCGAACAAATATCCACGTCAAACAACATGTTGGCTGCAGCTGGAATGACAAAGTTATGATTAGCAAATGGTTTGGATGGTTGCAAGAGGAAACACAGACCGGTTAAAGTTTAGAGTGAGCTCTGGGGAGTGCTGCTCATCCCGGCCTGGGCTGGGGTGAAGGGCTGTGCACACAGAGATCCGGGGTGRAAACCTCGTGTGGAGAGAAGAGCACCCCAAAATTGGTGTGCTACTGCAGCATCGTGGGGCAGGGGAGAGAAAAACCATCCCGGGGCCTTTGGAACCAAATCAGAGCATTCCTCGAACTCCGGGTGTGTCCCGACCCCATCACTGTCCCTCTTCACCCTCCAAGGGCCATCCTGACCCCGTCACTGTCCATCTTCATCCTCCAAAGGCCATCCTGACCCCGTCACTGTCCATTTTCACCCCCCAAAGGCCATCCTGACCCCGTCACTGTCCATTTTCACCCTCCAAAGGCCATTCTGACCCCATCACTGTCCATTTTCACCCTCCAAAGGCCATCCTGACCCTGTCACTGTCCATTTTCACCCTCCAAAGGCCATCCCAGCCCTGTCACTGTCCCTATTCACCCCCAAAGGCCATCCCGACCCTGTCACTGTCCATTTTCACCCTCCAAGGGCCATCCTGACCCTGCAGTGCTGCTCCTCACACACCCATAACCCTACATGCTCTGGATAATTTGAAGCTGTTTTCCTGAATCCCCCTGGCTGTGTGCCACCAGCTCCTTCACTCTCAAGAACAGTCACACCTCCACGTCAGAGCAGGCACAGAGCACCCCAGGGATCAGGACAAAAACCAGCTCTTCTCCTCAAATGCAGATCAATAAGAGATCTTTGACACATTCTTGACATAACCAATGTTGAACAAAGCCAAGGAAAGCTTTGCCATCCCAAAAAGCACCATCCTGATGCCAAACAATCCATGTGCAGGGCATCCATGTGAGCACCCACGGCTGGAATCTGTCATTTACTGTGGAAATTTGGGGATGAATTGGGGCTGCTTCACCAGGTGCAGCAAAGCCAAGAGGACACAGAAATCACATAACCAAATAGACTTAACTCAGGGTGGAATTTTCTCTCTTAATATCAAGGCTTCTCTTCCCAATGCCAATCAGGAAGAGAACTAAATATGCTGTTCAGGAAAAGCAGAACAATGCCATGGAGGCCTTCCACAATTTTTGTGTACAAAACTCCTCAAAAGCCTGGTTTATAGTTACAGAAGGTACCCAAGGGAGGAAAGCTGGAAATTTCACTTTATTGGGATTTCTCTGGAGCACTGACCATATAAAATAAATATCTACCGCAAAAGATAACTCATGCCACCCAAGCTCCTGGCACTCACCACCTCATTAGGAGCTACACGAGGGCACACACACATTTACACACACATATTTATAAAATTACTGCATGGTGGCAACATCTCTGAGAGTTCTGAGCTCCATGGCTGAGCCTCCTCSTTTTCTCAAATGGATTCTCTCCAACCTCAAACTGTTTGCAGAGTGGGACAGACCGGGCCCTTTAAACTCGGCCCTAATTAGCCCACAGCCTGAAACAGAACCAGCACGATGGAGGAATATTAAAACCCCAGAAGCAAAATGAAACTCCCCTGGTTGAATGGTGGAGCTGCAGTGCTGCAGCCTCGCAGGGGTTGGTGCTGAGGCTGAGGAGCACACACAGAATTACAGCACCACAGCCACAAAATAATGGCAAAACACGCTGCTGTCTTTTAAATTTAAAGGGGCTTTAGCAAGTATAGATATCCATTCAATATATTGCTTTTTAAATTGCTTTCTGAASTGAAACCAAAAGCCAATCTGATCCCTGATGTGTGGAGCTCTTATTGTTCCTGATTTTCCAGACTCCTTCACATGCACTGACCAGGGTACATTCCTGGTGTACAATTCGAGTGTGAATTCCTGCACACAGCCTGAGGAACAGCCTGTGGCACTGCAAATGGATTCCTGCTCTGTTCAGGTCCTTGGGGCTCATGGACAGTCCTACAAAGGGACTGGAAACAGCTGGATTTGTGGAGCAGATTTCACAAAAATCACCACAATCTTCACGGACACGGCCTGTGATCAGAACTAAAACAGTCTGAAATTACCATGGTGCCCCAGCCATGCTTTGGCACATTTCTCCACAGAGATTTGGGATGATTTGGGGTTGATTTCATGCCCAAGCTTGCACACACCTGCACTTTGTGCTCAGCTTGTGCTGTGCTTAGGCAGTGTCACCAAAGGGCAGCTCTGACACCTCCCATTTGCTGCTGCCTGGACCTGGGACTAAAACACGGAGTTTTATTTCTTGTCCCAGGCCTGTCAGCTCTGCCTTTAGCCCTCTGAATGCAGACACAYTCTGGATGAAAATGTCAGAAAAGTGTGGAATCATTTTTAAATTAACCTGACATTTTACCAGGGACAGGCAGAACCTTCAACAGAAAGTAAAAGTTAAATAATGTATAATTTGGGGGAACAAATCCCTGGGCTGCGTCCCTGCAYGGAGGCATCAAACACCTGAACATGTCATACCTTGAGAGCAGACTGGGAATGCCTAACCCTAACCCTGATCCTAACCCTAATCCTAACCCTGACCTGTTGGAATAAACCCCCTGCAACTGCAGTTTTTGACACCGCCAGCTGTAACCAGGAAGAGACAAACTCCTGAGGATAAAATCATAATTTTTCCTGTTTTGAGGAAGTTTTCTGGCAYGTGAAATGCTCTGAAAACCTGCAAYGCTATTTTTGCTCATGAAGTTCACATTTCTATATGCTATTATTTTTAAGGCACCTGGGATGACACTGAATGTGYTTCCTAAAGGAGACAGTGCCTGGCACTGTGACCCTGCTCAAAGCTGATATTCCAACTCAGCACCAACTCTGCTCCTGTTTTGGGCTCCTACAAATCCAAACCAAACAGAGTTTGCTGCTGGCACAAATCCTGAGCCTCAGGAAGGAGCTCAGAGCTGTTTCCAGATGCGTTCACTGAGGGGGTTGAAGCATCTCTGGGAATTCTCGAGTGAAAAAGCACAGCCTGCAATGGTACAGAAACACCCACACACACTCAACATCCACACACCCACCCCTGCTACTCCATGGATCAGTGGGGTTTAAWATACACCCTAAAAGGGCATTCCAGGGGGGTCATCAGGAGCCCCCAACCTGCTTGCTAATGCTGCTGCAAAGGGCTGGCAACGCTGGAAACCTGCACGTGTCACCCCAGGGGACAAAAGAGGGGACCAAAACCTCTTTGGGGACCAAAACCACTGCCAGGACACCACCAGTGTGATTGCAGCTGTGGAGGGAGGGTGGGACAGCAGATCTGGAGGTGTCAGTGAGGCTGTGGATCTTGGGAGGGGGATATTGGGATCGGGATCCTGGGACGGGGAAACCRGGAGAGGGATCCCAAGMAGTGRATCCTGGGATAGTGGGAGTGGGATCTTGGGAAGGGGATCCTGAGAGGGGGAATCTTGAGAGGGGGAACATGGGAGGGGGATCCCAAGAAGTGGATCCTGGGTGGGAGAACCTGGGAGTGGGATCCTGGGATTGGGATTCTGGAGGGAGAATCTGGGAAGGGGATCCTGGGAGGGGAATCCTGGATGGGGGAATCCTGAGAGATGGATCCTGAGAGGGGGATCCCAGGAGGTGGATCCTGAGGGATATCCCAAAAGGTGGATCCCAGGAAGTGGATATCCCGAAGCACCGGCGCAGTGAGGACGCTGGGAACTGGGAAATGGGAACTGGGAACTGGGAACAGCAGGCAAACGTGGCCCCAAACAAGCACTGGGCTGTGATTAAGGAGCTTTATCTCCCAGGAAACAASAGCTGTCCAAGCCCAGCATTTCAAGGAGCGACTCCAGGGTAATTCAAATGATGCCGTTTGCTGGGCTGTATCGGATTGTACATCTTAATGAAGAAAGCCACAAGGACAATTTCACTGATAAAAAAAGGGCTCGGCAGCGATAACGGCTGAAACRCCACAGGATGGCCAGAATATCAATGCTCTTGGAGGATACGTGGAAAAGATCAAACTGTCACGCAGGAAATCTTTTCAAGCACCTGCCCTGAAGTGACAGAGGGAGAGCTCTAAAGGTCGTGGTGTTTGGAAGCTTCACCAGTGCTCAGCTTGCCCTTCCCTGGAGAAAGCATCGGGTCAGCTCTGTGAGAGCYCTCCCAGAAACTCCCTGAACTAATAAATCAAAAGGACAACTCCAAGGGCAGACTTTTCTAGGGTCACCTGCTAGAAACTGCTTCAGTGCACCCTCTCTCCCCATGTTTTATTCAATTAAAGCCAGGCAATTGTTTTTCAGAATTACTCCATGGTTCCAGGGGACACGGACTAGGTCAGGGTTATTCTCGAAGTAGGGGAAAAAAAGAAAAATTAAACATTTCAAGCCCACYTCATCCTAAGGCCTGGATTTCACTGGGCTGGCTCCAGCTGCCAGCAGCTCAGGGAACACCCCAGTGGCTCCCACTGCTCCTGTCAGACAGGAACAACGCTGCAGCATTTGGATGAGGATGGGAATTAAAGTATCAGGTGTCTCCCTCAGCTTTGAGAAGTGTTCCAACACTACTCTGCTRTGTAATTTTAGAGATTATGTTAATTTGTCCTATTTTTTTCCAGCCACAAAGTCTCTTAACTMTTGGAGGGCAGCAGTTGGTGCTCCTGAGCAGGGACTGGAGAGGGCACACACGACAGAGGGAGGAGAGGCCTCAGCTGCTCTGCGTGGGAAAAGCACACTGAACTCACGGGCAGAGCATGGGGAGACGCAGATCAGGAAGAGTCAATGCCAGGGAAGAAAATAAAGGTTTCTCTTATCAGCGTTAACGAATCTTCTTCTGACAGATCACAAGCAGGAACTGCTGGAATCAGGGAGCAATATCATATTTTCATTACATCCCTCCTCAGCATTTCAAAGCCAACACAGAAAAGCATCAGGGAGGTGATGGAGACTCAGTGGGTTCTGCCAGCAGGGTCTGGGATCCTCCAGCACTGCAAACAAAGGGGAGTGAGCGATGCTGGGCAGCCCCGTGCTCCTCACAGGGACCAGGAGAACCACACCACTGCAAGAACCTCCCCTCTCCTTCCTACTTTTAATATGAAAAAGCTGGAAATTATGAGGAGGAGAACCCAGAGGCTGCTGAGCATCCCCAGCCAAGCTGGGAGGAGAGCAGAGAGCCAAGCTGCTCTTTCTGGGAACWGGAACCATCCCTGGAGCCCCACACGGCACTGGGGACAGGGACAGYGCAGGCTTGGAGGGGCAATCCCTTCATGACAGCTGATAACAACCCAGCTCCACAGAAAGGACCTCAGGAACGTTTGCAGAATTAACTGAAGAGGTTATCCAAGCATCMAGACACATTGTTCCCTTTACCCTTCCAAAATTCACCGAATTACCGTCAAACAAAGCAAGCTGTGAGCACATCCACGGACAGCACGGACACAGCACCGAGCTCCTCTGCAAACAGCTCTCAGGGAGGCTCTGAGAAAGCTTCAAACCTCCTCTGAAACAGAAGTGGGTTARGTCTAGAAACCAAAAGCACAGAAAGTGGGAGAGTGTTGACAGCAGAGCATCGCTGGGTTGGTCAGAAAGCACCTGCAGGAGGAAGCAGAGCACACGAGGCTGCCAGGGTTAAGGCACGTTGGCACCAAGGCTTGTCCGTGCCTGGCTGGGCTGGGAAAAACCTCGAGAGGAAAAGAAGCCACGAAACGCCCTGGGCAGGATGGTGAGAGTCAGCGGAGCAGCGTCGTAAAAGCAAATAAAACCAAATAAAACGTGAAGGCATTTACACAAGGGGTGGTTTACAGCCACAGTAAACGTTGTGCCATTAGCTATTCAATGGTCCATCCTCACCTGCYGTTTGTCACCTCTGCCTTAAAAAAAAAAAAACAAAACCAAACCCACAAAAAGCAGCAAGCAAAAGCAAAAGCAGCGGTTGGAATAGGAAAGGTCAGAGAAATGASAATGCGGATGGTTACAAATAAATCAGAAGGTTTTCCTGATGAGTCAGGTCTGKGAGGAGGTATGAGGATGTGTCAGAGAGAGGTGGCATGATCTTGCTGGTTGTTTTTATTCATCTTTTCTGGCAAGACAGGGAAAATCYCACAAGCTGAAAGGCAGCTCCTCAAGAAGGGCCTATGGATGGCATTCACTCAAYAAAAACCACTGGTGGAATTCCCTTTTCTGGAAGAGTGAGGAAGAAGCTCATCACAGAGAAAGACCAACACCTCGGCATGAGAAAAAGCACCTCGAGCCACACCAGGCAAATRAAATTGCCAAAGACCAAACTTCCTGCTACAAATTGCTCAGAAATGGATACTGAGGGATGGAGCTGAAACGACTGCCCGTGCTAAGAGAGCTCTAAGGCTGATTGCATCCTGTGTCTGAGGTACCCACTATTGGCCACCAGTAACTGAATTAATCACTTTTCCTGCCGTGACAATTCCTCTTTTCAGGAACAYCCACACCCGAGCTGCCACACCAGGGCTCGTGTGGTGGGTGGGTGTATTTGAGGAAAAAAAAAAAATACTGCAAGTGATTGGTTTGTTGTTTTTCCCCAGGCTTCATGCTCTGCTTATATACATAAAAGACAATAAACATTCAGGACATTTCCAATGGTTATGAAGGTACCATACCTGTGATGGTGGTAGGGATGGTGGTGGTAGTGGTGGTGGTTGTTGTGGGAGGAGGGATAGTTGTGGGGGGATCTGGATAAAATATAAAAAAGGAAAATAATAAAAAAGCAAATTAAGAAAAAAAACAAGCAGAACACAACAGCGGTCAATAGTGATCAGAGGAAAACAAGGACGCAAAGAAGCAGGGCCTGTCCTGGCTAAACCCCAGGCAGAGCTCAGCAGGGACAGAGGGGTCAGATCCTCCACCCACACTCACCACGGCTGGAGAACCTGGCCCCAAACTCTCCCCACCTTCTGCCTTCTACAGTGCTAAAAAAAATAAATAAAACCCAGCACAAATTAGTCAATGAGAGAGAGGAATGGAATGGGAGAGGCATAAGGAAAATCAACTGCACGCTTTCCACAACAAAAGACCATTTGCACATACAAGGAGAGACACGGTGGTGCTTTGGTGGGTGTCTATGGACACATTKGCAAATCCAGGTGGGAGGGTTGTGTGAGGCTCCTGCTGTGCTCACAGCCTGAGCATTAACAGCAATGAACAGATCTCACTGCCTTCCCAGGGCCCTAAACTCACTGCTATTCCCCTATAAACACACGGCAGCAGGATGTTCAAAACTGCTTCAAAGATGGTAACGAATGCAGAGAAATGACAACATCATTGCTGAATATCAATTTCCAGGTATGAGGAATTCCACCAAGATCTTTCAATTAAATAAAAAAAAGTCAATATTTTTCTGACAGTTTCAGTTGCACTCTCTTGTTTTTGCTGCCAGGGCATCGTTAATGAGATGTTTCTCTCTGTGACCATTTCTCAGATGGACTGGACCTGTTGAGATTCAAATCCTGCTGCTTGTCACGGGATTGATGTTACACACASAGGCACATCCTTATCAAAACTATCGGGCAGGAGAAGGTAGATATGAGAAGATGTAAAAGAAAAAATATGTATCAATGCCCAGATGATCAAACTGAATGCGCTAAGTAGTCGGAAAGACTTTGAACTCAAATTCGTTCRGCAATAATAGAGCATGAAACCTTTCATGGGCTTTTGATTTCAGGTTTCCTCCGTAGCACGTCAGCTGCTCCTCACTAACACATCTGCTGCTCTTTTATCTCCGAGCCAGCTCCCTTGGATCCCCTAATTAAGATATCTGAACTTTAATTATATACTGCACTTTTATTCTGTTCCATCCAACTTCCCAAAAGTTAAGGACCATCCCCTCATAGTTCTCTGTGTTCTGAGCAGTCGCTGTCCTTCYCCTGCACCCCAAGGATCCCTTTGTGCTCCTCACTCCTCCCTGACCCACAAATCCTCCCTGGGAGCACTGGGGACCCTCCAGCTGTGCACAACATCTGGGAATGGCCCCCTCACACCCATGGGCCTGGCAGTGACAGAAAAACACAAAAACCCCGGTGTGCTAACGGAGCTGCAAGTGTCCAGCCGTGTATCTGCCTATGCCATGGGGAGAAAAAGCAGCAATGAATTTTGGAAATGAACAGGTTCTCACTGCACATCGATGTGATTATCCATCCCCATGCCAGTGGGCAGCTGGGGAGGTGCTGGGCTCAGCCTCATCACCCCTGGTCCTGCAGAAATGCCCCTCTGGAATGGCACAGCTCAGCCTCATCACCCCTGGTCCTGCAGAAATGCCCCTTTGGAATGGCACAGCTCAGCCTCATCACCCCTGGTCCTGCAGAAATGCCCCTCTGGAATGGCACTGCCCAAAGCTGTTTCTCCTGGAGCTGTGCCAGCCCCTGCTCGGTGTCTGCAGCCCCAGTTCCCTGCCTGGCACGGCTGAGAGCTCTGCAGTGTGAACAGCCAGGACAGCACAGCACATCCTCCAGGGCTCTGTGTGCCCACAGACACAGCCCCAGTGCTGCTGGAATGGGCAGATTTTGGTGGGGAAAGGAGCCCCAGAGCAGAGGTGTCAGAGCTCCAGCACAGAGCAGAGGTGTCAGAGCTCCAGCACAGAGCAGGGTCAGAGCTCCAGCACAGAGCAGGGTCAGACCTCACTGAACATCCCTCAGCAGCTGCTCCAGGGGCTCTGTCCCTGAGCCTTCACATGGTGCCACAGCCCAAGCACTCCCTCCCCACTCTGGGCTTCTCCCTGCTAAATCGATTCCTTATGTGCAGGGAGCAGAGCCCAGAGGGATGCTCCCAAAGGTGCAGGAACTGGAGATGAAGGGGTATAAAACCCTTCTCTGCCACAAGCACCCCTCCCCTACATGGGTAATGCATCTCCCAGATCCCTAAACTGGAACCCACAGCTCTCCATCCCCTGGGAACCTGCATCTCCTTCCAAATGCTATCCTGGGTCTCCTCCTGKGGATTTAATCCCGAGAGGGAGCAGCCCTGAGGAAGTCCTGTGCTGTCTGTTCATCCAAAATGCAGAGTAATTAWCAGTGAGAGCTCCCAGGAGCTCTAAACCTCAGGCCAGTGATGCTGGGGAGGCTCCCCCAGCCCTGCCTTGGCCCAGGATGGGAACACAGAACCACACAAGGAGAGAAATCTCCATCCTACACTGATTTATGGCAGCAGCACAGGGAACKGCCCGTGCCCTGCTCCAGCTGCTTTGCTCTCTGCAACACTGGTTCAAACACTGACCTAAACAAGTGGAGTTTTTATATTGTGAGCATGCAAATTACCAATCATAAATGTCTGTCTGACTTCATTTTGTGAACTGGAGTCTCGTGGAGTGAGAGGCACTAGGAAAACTACCCAAATGATGGGATACATGGGTTTTGCATAAGCTCAAAGCTGAGGCTAACTTCAGTCTTTGGGCAAGTTTCTGAGACTGGGCTTAAAATCATCCTGTAGAGGTGGCATTTGGAGAGCTATGGGAGGTTCTCYACTTTTTGACTGTGTCAGAGCAACTACCAGAGAGCTCAGACTGCAGAGCTTCAGGTGAGTGTTGCTTGGAGCAAACCTCAAACCAACYTTCCATCCCRTCTGAGTGGAACCACAGCATCSTTCAGCTTGGAAAAGACCAAGACCCACCACGAGCTCAGCCCAGCCACACAAAACCGCTCTCAACAGAGGAAGTTTAAACTGCAGCCCAAGGAACTGCTCATSATTAACCTGGGGATCGCTCTGCAAGTGCCTCCTGAATCTCCACTGCACCAAATCCTSATGGCAGGAGCACGAGGGTCACAGCAATGCCAAAGTAATGCAGAGGAAATAAAGAATTAAAGCAGGTCCTTAATAGCACTTTGAAAGATGCTGAGGCATGTTTTAGTGTCTGCCCAGCTGCACAGACAGGCTTAAGGCATCTCATTGCTCCGCTTTATTTCCTGGTCTGTAATTGTCTGGGATCTGGCTGATTAACTGCTCATGGAAACCTCGGGACCCCYGGCCCATTGCTCAGGCCACTGCAGGAGGTGTTACCAAAAGGAGAAGGAATCATTGGAGAAGTGGAGGAGAACAGCACAGTTCTCCCCGTGCCCCTGCTCTGACTTTTGCTCAGTGTTCMCCTGCAGTGGGGTGGGAGCTCTGTGCCCCACGAGCACCCCGAGACCCCRACACCCCCAGCATTTCCCAGCCCCTACCCCAGCCCAGCACAGCGTCGGGGGCGTCAGCAGCTGCCTGCAAATCTGGCATCAAGCAAACGTTAAGTTCTGTCCCAGCTTTCTTTCCGAGCAGGGCATGGTGCAATTAGGTGTAAATGAGTCTAGAAGAACGGTGGTTTTTCTCACGTACCGTATACAAACAGCATGTAATCCGCATGTGATTTCCCCACCGCGTTGGAAGCCTCACAGCGGTATGTACCATTATCTGTTTTGTTTAGGTTACTAATGAGAAGGTTTGAACCAGACACTACAACGTGTTGAGGCATCTCATCATCTACTCTTAACCACCTCATGTCCGTAGGCCTACAGAGGAGGGAGAAAAAGAAACAGTCACATTACTATTTTCCTATGGTCAAGATGGCATCTTCAAAAGTTCATCCACAGACAGAAAGCCCAAACCAAGAAAAACTGTAAAGAAACAACACATACTTTTTTTTGCACTACTCAAAGCCCAGATGCTGTCAGGCTTCCTCAATTTAAATTTATTTTAACCCAACAGGAAACTGTATCCAGAGCTTAAATTTTCTGAAAGCACTAATGCAAGCAGGAAGAAAGTTCATTAGTGGTTAATCATTCGCTTACTCAGCAAACCTGAAAGCTCTGCGGCTACAGACTCTGTGTTCATCCACGGGGTGCTCTGAGGGCAGAGCTGGACAGCAGAACAAGCACAGTTTTGTCACATTTGAACCCTTGCACGAGATGCCATGGAGCTGTGACCTCAGTGGGAGCTGTGCCCTGCACTCAGGGGYTCCAGCCCTTCTCCTGTCCCCAAACCCCGGCACTGACACAACCCATGGTTCAGGGAATGAAATGAGCCTGGTTTGACAGAGCTGGGAGCACTCACGGGCCTGGGGGGTATTCTGAGTTTGTGGGGGTTTTTAACATCTATTATTATTATGACATCTTTGAGCAGCTCTTTCCCAGCAAGAAAATCACAGCATCTTTCATCCCACTCAGGAGGGAGCTCTCAAAGGGGAGTTTCCTGCAGCAGAGATCCCTCAGCCTGCCTGCTCCAAGGCTGACAAGAGGRACCCCATGTTGCCAGAGGAATCCCACAGCTCAGATTTTCCCTGGGTGCAAATGGTGATGATTCCATGATGCAGAAGCTCCTGATGCCACTGGATGGGTCCAGCACCARGAGAACTCAGCTGGGCACTGGCTGTGGTGCTGGACACCTCTGTGCCACTCACTGCCACACCATTGGCACACAAGCGTGGGCAGCAGAAGCTCCTGAGATGCAATTTTAAGGGTTTGAATGCTCCTGTCCACAGTTTTCAAAGGGCTCTTTGTGCCTTGGAGTCCCCAGGTTCCCCAGCTGTACCCGACACAGCAGCCACTGCTCAAAGTTTGTCCCTGGATGCCCACAAGTGACCAGTTCAGCATCTTCCCACTGCTGTCAGTCTTAGGGGGTTGTGTCTAATCTTTCTGTACTGATTTCAAATAGAATTTTCTCCTCTCTGGTCTTTTTCCCCTCTGAGCTTCCTTCCCCCAATATTTATGTTGCCGAATTTTGCAGAGAAATTATTTTGCTGAACTGGAGAAACCTCTCCCTTCATCTAAAACCTCTGCAAAAGATTTCATGAAACCTCTTTGCCTTAAAAAAATGGAGCTAAACCCAGCCCATTATTTTACAGTGCATTTTCTGAGCTTTGGGAGACCCAGGTGAGGTGACCTAGAGAAGCCAATTCCCAGCACATCAGCAGCATCCCACAACACGCAGCACAAGCTGCCAGAGAGATGTGTCTGTCCTATTTAACGTGGCAATGTCTTACTCATAGCCTGCAAGGAAAAAATGTAGAGAAGCCTGCTGATTAGAGTGCCACTGATTGCAAAGGGGAGGCTCTGCAGGGAGTGGGGGATGCAGAGGGGCTGGGCAGCTCTGAGCAGCAACAGCTCAGGATGGAATTCAGCAGGGACGCGCCAGGCTCTGATCTGCGGGGAGGGATTGGCCTCGTGCCCAGAGGGAGGATCTGGGAATCGAGCAAACACTATGGGAATCAAGGAAATACTGTGGAAAGGATGCAGGCTAGAGGGGAGGATGAGCCTGAGCTCCTTGGTGCGGGGTGCCCGCCCTGCCCACGCCGCCGAGCTGGACCGGCTCCAGCTCCCCACGCCACCAAGGAGGCACTGACAGATCTCAGGGATGTTTGCACAAATCTTATGGACGTGATGAAAATAAAGAAGGATAGTAAATACTTGACAGCCATAAATCCGAGTGGAAGAGAAAGTATTTAAAAAAAAAAATAAAGCCGACAAAACTTAAATTAGAACAGCAATGAWAGTGAGAGAAAATCTACCCTCCCTTGCCAGGATTTTCCTGATGCATAAATTTCTTCAACTGCCTAAGAAAGCCTCAAGGGCTTGGCAAGAAGAGGAGAGAGAATAAAACTGGCATTCTATAAAAACCACACGGGGCACCAAGAGGGAGGAAAACCATCACACAGTCAGTGGGAGCAGAGGGATGGGATGGGGATCTTACCTGGGGATCCACCCCCGTCCCCAGTGCTCAGGGCAGCAGCACCTCCTTGGGCCACCACTGCAGCCCCTGGCCTCGCTTTTGCAGATTAATCAAACCCAATTCATTGCAGATTAATGCCCCCCAAGCCATTCCCTGGGGAAGAGGTGCCCAGTTGGGAGCGTTTCCCCTCTGCACTCAGAGGCTGCWGCAGGGTGGAAGGGAGGAGCTCTCCAGGAGCTCTTCCAGGGAAATCCCTTGGCCATGAGCTGCAGAGGAACAAACCCAAATCAAACCTGATGTGCTCAGTGACCAGCAGGAGTTTGGGTGCAGGAAGCAGCTCCCTCCCTCACCCTGGGCATTGCCTTCMCAGCAGAGAATGGCCACAGGAACAGTGACCACGCAGTGCCCATCGCCACCGGCCACCCCGGGAAGGTCCAACTTACTGTGGCTTTCCAAAGGCTGTGCAGGTCAGCTCCAGCGGCTCCCCTTCTCTCGTCAGGCCTTGCAAGGGGTAATTCTGAGAAACTCGCACTTGAGGCTTATCTGCAGACACAAAACACGGCTCTGTGAGCCCCTGGTGCCCTCCGGCCGCTCCCCGTGCCCGCTCGGTGCCAGCAGCAGGAGCAGCAAGCGGCCCCACAAATCCCATTCCAGCACCAGGAATCCCAGCAAGGGCTTTCTGCTGTGCACATCATCTCTCTGCTCGCTCCAGCTAAAAGGAACTCATTGCCTTCACRCCGAGGGGAGGCTGGAGAGACCCGTGGTGCCAGAATTGATGGGTTTTGTGGTGTSTCAGCGATTCCTGCACACAGCACCCTGAGCCCACGAGTGCTATCGTGCTGGGCTGGACAAGAAATGTTTGTTAGAGACACAAACAGAGGCACAGCCACCTCTGCCTCTGTGGAAACAACAGCAGGTTGTGTTTTGTCCAGATGAAGCTCCTCTAAATCCTACAATAAACAGGGAATTAAAGCATGGATAGTTAGGGCGCCAACTCAAAAACACTTCAGTAYGACCCTGCAGGAAAAAAAGAGCCAAACCACAAACCTAGAGTCCACAATTAAAAAATTCATTACCTTCCATGACTGAAACAGAGATTAAAAACGCAATCTGAGCTGTAGCTAAAACATTATCAGTGCAGGAAATCAATTCAAGGCTACAAGTGCCATTAAGCCRTAGATATTTTTCAGGAATTTACTCAACTGTAAGGAACAAAGGAAGGAAAAAAAATCAGTATGCATAAAGGTTGAAACCATTTAAATGTTTCTATTTCCTTTGAGAGTAACTGCTACCCAAAATATTGGCTGGCTGCATTTTATTAACTGTGTTTAACTCATTAACATGCCTCCTATGGAATAATAGAGATTAGAAAAAAAAACCTGCGTGTCAGGATTTAACCAATTTAAACTCTCATAATTTTCAGTAATGGAATAAGCTACACAAGTAAATCCTCTCCCGAGATGACTCTACCACAACATTTCATCAGCTAATCCCTGCTGCAGATGCTGCTTGCAGCTCTGGAACTGGGGTGTCCCTGTGGGATGGGGGAGCAGCATCCCTGTGGGACAGCAGAGTTTTGGGTGTCACTGGCCAAGGGGACAGGTCCCAATCCCACGGGAAATGGGGTGGCTTTGGARTGCTGGAAATGCCCTGGAGGGGCACAAGGGCTGCACAAGGAGCACAGCAGAAYGAGTTCAGCCCAGGGATCCAGGAAATGTCCATGTGTCACCTGCAATGGGAATTTGGGTTTATCAGAACATGTACCTGCATTTGCCAAGAGCTTCCCCATGAGTTAGCACAGCAAAGGGCTGACAGCATGCTGGGAATAACTGGGAACACTTGGGAAAATCTTCCCCTGAAGGATTCAGAGGGATGGGTGGACACTCCAATTAGGCTCATGCCATGCAGAAAAATCTTTCACCCAACAATCTGGAGGAGCAGCGGGGTGTTTTTTCCCTTTTGTTTAAGGACGTGCCTTTAGACAGTTTTAAACTCTCCTTCCAGTGCTCACAGGCAGCCTCCCMCAGTCAGTGTATTTCCTGCAGATTATGGACTGGCAGTGAAATGCYGAGCACCACGGGACCCCGAGCACACTCCTGACATTTAACAGAGCACATGGACACAGCTCTGATGGTTCCAGGGCTGCAGAGCCTTTGCCACTGCCCTGTTAGGAGGGACACATCCCAGCAGAGCTGCCTGAGGCTCTGAAACGTGGGGTGATCACCATCTTGGGGCACCAGGTGAGAAACAGCAGCTTCACCACCAAGGGCATCCCAGAACCCCAAAATCCTCAGCTTGGAACTCACAGGATCACACCACTGGATCTTCACATCACACAAAAACAAAACAACTGTGCAGCCCAGGCCCTGCCTGCTCCATGGCAGCCAATTAGACCCAACAACCCACGGCTATTTCCTACCCTGCTTAAAAAAAACAGCCTCGTAATTTAATAAGGCACCTTTATTAAGCTAAATTCATTCAAAAGCTCASAGTGATATACAAGGTTAAATACCAGTCGTCTAAAGGTTACCCTGTAGCAGCAACCAATTTGAAAAACTTATTACAAAGCCATTGTGGGTTTGATGAGATTTCTCTCACAACAGGCGAGGCACACATTGCCAGGGGCTGCTGGGGACCACAGCCCCCCAAAAAGGGACCATGAACCCCAAAGTGCTGCCCCTCCCCTCAGGATGCCACTGGCCACCAAAACCTGCACCCATTGACTTTCACWGCTCTCAAATCCATGCTTGGGAAGTCACCAAACCACTCCAGYTATTCTCCATTTGTCCCAGTTCTTCCTTTTTTTAGCTGCTCGCCCCATTTTTGTGCCATCAGCAAAGATTATTAACAGTGACTTTTTAAGAACTTCAAATGCCTCAACTGAACAGCATCAGGCCAAGCACCCAGGCCCCTGCATTYCCTCTAAAAATACCAGCACTGCTGATTACTCCCTAATGACTATCCTTTGAGATCTGCCAGTTAGTGATTTCTTAATCCATTTAAACATGTGCTTCATCGATAATGCTTAGATGTCATTAATCAGCCRAGATAAAACATTACACCGAGTTCAGGGCCTTACAAAAGCCTAAGCCTATTATTTCCACCCATTTCCTTTCATCAGGCCAGCCCTGGATCTGGAAGGCAGGCGAGCTCAGCACCCCAAAGCCAGCACCGAGTGGATTTGGCAAAGCCAGCTCTGTGTGTGTCCTGGCTGCT